GTGTTTATTTGGAAAGTCAACATAAGTTTAATATTTATTTGGAAAGTCAACATAAGTTTGATATTTATTTCGTTTCGTTATGAGTTGAGGATTTAAATCAACGTTTTGAATAAATTGGGGATTTTAACGACATTTTTCCCGAATTATTTATTGGGGTACATAAATGAAGGGAAAATGGTGGGGCTTTGCGTTAAAAATTAAGACCCACCAGCCGACCTGACCATGTCCTACTCAGCTTACACATGTTTCCATGTGACCTCACCACTTCTTCTAATCCCATTTTACCATTTTTTTCCTTATATAAAATAAAATTAATCTTCGTACAAAAATAGTAGTAGTTAATAGTAATCTTTTTTTTAACATCTAATTAAGCCGAAATATAATTTCTTATACTAAAAATAGTACTATGCTTTAATCATCTAACTCCAACATCTAAACGCATCTTCTTATGCACAAAATCTCTCTCTTTTCGATAATCGTGTTACATTGTTTACTAATTGACACGTAAAAATAAAAGGAAAAAAATCCTTTGGCTAAGCCACTTTTGCTACGTTAAGTCCATTTCAACACTAATAAAAACTTTAATAATGTACAAAGTATGTTTAATCACAAATTCAAGTACGGTTAGTTTAATTGATTAGACACTTTAAAGTTGTTTTTGTCACATTGAGTTTTTTTGGCATAAATCGTTACATTGCATTAAGACTTAGAAACGTTGGAAATTTGCTTTTCTTCTTCTCAAAAGTTTCGACTAAGCCTGGGCAAAAAAACCGTACCCGAGTATCCGAACCAAAACCGACCCAAAAAAACCGGTTCGGGGCGGGTACGGGTATTAGTTATTTATCCTATTGGGTCTTGTATTGTCGTACCCGTGGGTATAGGGTAAAACCCGATCTGAACCCGATACCCGAACGGATACCCGATTACCCGAAATTACTTATACTTATACATATAAAAACTTTATATATATGTAATATTTGAGCTAAATACATTTATATCCAAATATCCGAGAGTAATTACCAAAAATTAAATGCACTTATATTTATATATTTAAGACTAAATATATTTATACGCGAGATGCTTGTAAATTTTCTAAATATTTGGACAAAATTCCGGTTATTCGGATAAATTTTTGGGTGAAACTCGGATATTTGAGTAAAATTGCGGATAAAATTTGGATATTAGAGTAAAATTTCGGGTAAAATTCGGGTATTTGGTAAAATTTTGGGTATTTGGGTATAAAATACCCGAACCCGATGGGTGCCCGATTTTTTCGGGTATTTAGCGGTTCTAAAAATCTAAACCCGAACCGACCCGAACCCGATTAGACCCGAACCGAAACCGAACCGATATTTTAGTTTACCCTATTGGATCCTAAACTCCTCTACCTGAAAGACCCGTACCCGATCGGGTTTTACCCGAACCCGACCCGCATACCCGAATGCCCACCCCTAGTTTCGACAATAATAGTTACCAAAAAACCGACATTGTAAGATTTATATTAAACACAAAAACATTATAACAGTAATAACATAAATCTGTTAATTGTATAATACTTTATAAAGATATAAGGTGGATTAGAAGGTGTCGTGCAACGGATCTGAACGTATCATGTTAGTTTATTTTGACTTAACTGTGCACAATACGTTTGACCCATCAAAAGAATTTCCCATTGGTCAAAGAATCTCTATTGATTCTTATCTCTCAACTCATCTCTCAAGTCTCAGCCAGTAAATATTATCAGAAAAATTCTGAAGTAAATTATTTTCAGTGCCCCCTTTCTTTTTTAGTAATTTAAGGACAATCTCACATGACCTTTTTTCCAATGTAAACACTCTTATTTTAATTATTTTACTCTTTTTTACTTTTGCTACATGTCTAATCAATCAAACCAATATACTAGTAAAAATTAAAAAAATAAACTCAAACGAATTATGAAAGTTACAACAGTACATTAATTCACATTATTATATACGCTTTCACGTTACTCCCGTAAACAAAAACAATTAAATACATGTTAATGGCTCAGTTTCATTATTTAACATCAACATTGTTTAATGCTTTGATTAATATAAAGTTTAGTGATCATTATGTGGATCCAAGAGGGAATCTAAGATCGAAGATGGATATTGAGAATTTGCCTCATGAAGGAAACAAAATCTCCTGCAACTTTACGTTCAAAGAGTTTACACTCAAAGAGTGAATCAAATTGGTTTTTTTGGCGTGTGGCGCCAATCAAATTGGTTTTTTTGGCGTGTGGCGCCAGGTTTCAAATCTTAAATAACTTATCACAAAAAATTAGCAAATATTTTATCATTTCCTTGTTTTCACGTGGCCTTAGAATTACTTTTTTTTTTATACCAGACTTACCAGTTAATACTCCTTCCGTTTCGTTTTACTTATCGTATTAGAGTTAAAATTTTGTTTAATAATAGTTGTCGTTTTAGGTTTTCGATGCAAATGTTTGGTGAAAATTCTAGTTTTATCCATACTGTTTTAATGTTTCGGCCAATGAATTTTTTTATAAAATATATTAATAGAGGGTAAAACAAAAAATTTAATGTTTTTATTAATTTGTGTGAGAAAACCTTAAACGACAACTAAAACGAAACAGAATAGTAAATATTCATTAGCAAATATTCTAGTTAATTATTAATTTCGGAGAAAAATATTCATTAATGTTAATATTCGTATGATCATGGTCATGATCTGTAATAATAGTGGTCAAATCAAAGGTAAAGTTCCTGACAAAACATATTAAATAAATTAATTAAGAAATTTGAAATGTTTGACCAGTCAAATAAACCATTAAGCTACAGTCTAAGATAATGGAGACATACGTGACCAGTGTGTGCGTTATTAGCGTACATACTTGAGCATTAAGAGCATTTTCAAAGGGTCAAAGAGGACCTCAAATTTGAGGTTTGAGATTTGGTAAACCTCAAATTTGAGATTTAGAGTTGTGTTTCTCCAAAAGAAAATCAAAAATTTAACTTTAAAAAAAATTGTATTTTGCATAATAATCCTTATTATTGATTATAGTTACATAAAACCATAAATGTTTTATAAATAACAATAAAACACATATTTAAAATATTACAAGCAATATTAATTAGTAAGATATTACGTTATAAAATAGAATTGCACAAAAAAAATAATAAAACACACAAACGAAATCATAAAATAAAGCTAAATTACCAAATTATTGAATCTAAGTATTTCCGTAATGCTTCCACATATGATCAATCCATGCATTTCGAAAAGCTAGATGAGTCTCTTTATTTTTTATTTGTAGATTATGAGATACTAATTGTTGAAATCAAGTATTTTCGTTTATTGCCATAAAATTTTAAGGCTTAATATGTTAAAATAACAAATTAGTCAAAATATTTATAAGATATAAATAATTGTGAGGACCAAAATGCAAATAAAAAGATGAATTGAGGTTTTGAATAGTAAAACCTCAAATATGAGGTTTCACTATTAAAAATCTTAAAATTTGAGGTTTTGAGATTGCCTTTCCAAACCAAAAATCTTATATTTGAAAATTTAAGGTCTCTTTTGGAAATGCTCTAATATTGTTGCGTTTTGTTTTGACAACAAACTTGTTTAATGTATATCTAAGCTGCCAACAAATAATTTCTATATTTCGATTTAGGGATAACACATGGCGAGGTCAGCGTTGTGAATAAGTGATATGCTGTTTTTGTCTTTGTAAACCATTTGATTTTTTTTTTTGAAAAAAGATTCATTGCTTGTTTAAACCGAAGTTACCGAACTAATAGTTTTTAGATCAAATCCCTTATACATACACTAGTTCGTAAGATTTTAATTAAATTAAGTGATTTTTGTAAAAAATGCCATTTTTGAAAAATCTTACGAAAATTATATTTTTACTAGAATCTTAAAGATTTGCCATTTTAACACTTAAAAATATAAGTATTTACGATTTTGTTTTACAAAAATACGTTATACCAAATACTAAAACTTAAAAACAAATAGAACATAATAAATCCAAATATAATGAATAAAATACATGTTAAATCACATTTTTTATAGACTAAAAATAATAAATCCACAAACTATTTAGAAAATAGCAAAACCAACAAATACCGCTCCTAAAAGTGGGTTTCTCATAATTGATTTTAAATTAATTATAACTATGAGAAAGGGAATTTTTCTCATGTAAATTTGGAGTAGAAGACTTTATAAAATTCAAGTAATGTAACAAACAACAATTTCCCATCTGGGTTTATCCGTTACTATGTTTAGAATTTACTTTTCTATCCATGATTTTCTATTTCCAAAAAAGAAAGTGAAAGTATATGTTTTCAAAATACCCCTAATAAAAAGTGCATACTTTTTGTTGTGTATTAAAATATGGTAATTTTGTTAAACTATTTTTCATAGACGCCAAAAAATAACAGTTTGAAACAATCGAAACCATCTATTAAGGTTTAAGATTGATTTATGCATTTCTTCAAGTTTATTCGCTTGAATAACAAGCATAAAGTTAACTTTATAGATAGTCTATCATTTCGTTAACAGATGATAGCTCTAATTGTATTATGCAATATACAAGAAAACACTTCATTTGCGACTGTGAAAATGGTCGATAAACGGTCGCAAAAGAGGGTTTTGCAACTGAATAACGACTATTTCTATTAGTCGCAAAAAAACGGTCGCAAAATTTCCTTGTCTCATTATAGTCGCTAATTTGCGACTAGTTGGCGACTATAAATATATCGTCGCAGATTAACGACTAATCTGTGACAGGTGAATATCGTTGCAAATTTGCAACTATTTAAGGACTCATTTATTATGGTGACAATATAGTCCTTTATTAGTAACCATTTTGATACGAGATTTAGAGTTATTTGTAAATTTGTTTAGTCACAGTTTGGTCACATTTGTTAATTGTTCTGGTCACAAACTAGTCAGAATTTCTGAAACTTTTTGGTCACAAAATGGTTACATCTTATTAGTCCGAAACCTGTCCATTTCAAAAGCAAATGCATTCAAAAACCATTCAAATATCAATCAAGTACCATTCCAAACCATTCAAAAACTATCCTAATCAAAGCATAACATATCCTAATAAGTTCACATACACAGACAAAAGGAAACTAAAATCAAGTTGAATGATTTGAGGCGGTGTTAGATAGAGGAGAGGTTGGTGTGGTTCCAGTGGTGTGTCCTGCTGGTTGGACTGCAGCTCACCATATTCTTCATCCGGCGTTGACAGATTTCCTCGAACCACCATTGAACTGTCCCTGTTATCAAGGGATCCCAGGTGTGGATTTTCTACAACACAAAGACATGAAGACAAGAGTTTGTGAAACAACAAAAATAATCATTAGATGTGAAGGATATAGGACAGAATAATGTACCGCGAACTCGATGAAGTATCTTTCTTGTCTCTCACGCGGCACACAAGTCCAGCTATAGTAGGGACCATCGAATTTGTTTTTAAAAATTTTAGTAATCTTCCTAACCAGTCTTGATTTAAACATCACGAGTAAACCTGCACCACTTGTAAACAAGTAGAAAAGTTAATAGTATCAAATACTCAAAAACAAAGTAAACCAGAAGTACCTAAGACATTAAGCAAAGTGTCTACACTCAGACTTGGTAAAAACTTCTTTGAACAACTCAAATGCATGAAATGTATCATTGAACTAAGACAACATTGAAAAGCAAACCAAAAGCAACAAAAAAAGATGGCCAATAATCACACACTCTAACATTGAAAAGTATACCAAAAGCAACCAAAAAAAAAGCAAACCAGAAACAATTTATTACATACTTTCAATGTTAGAGTGTACTGATTAGCTACTGATCATGTCACAAGCAAAGCCATATATTAAAACATCAAACTAAGACAATAGAGAAAGAAGTGATACGTTTAGACATCAACCTATACTACAATCAGACATCAACCAATACTACAATCAAACATCAACCTATACTACAATCAAACATCAACCAATACTACAATCAAACATCAACCTATACTACAATTAGACATCAACCTATACTCAGACACTCTAACTATGAAAAGGAACACAATTGATACGTTTATCAATAGAGAAAGAATTCAGACCAAGTGGTGTTTTCTCTCGGTGTTGGAGAGAGGACCGTGGTAAACTGATCCCGGTCTGGCACCTGAAGCAGAGCATTCAGAGCATGTAGCGTTTCTTCCTCGAGCTCCGGCAACATTGGAGAAAACTCCATGAAGTTATTTCCTTGAGAAGAATAAGGCTGACTATGACCCACACTCGGACCATCAGAGTTCAGATGTGAATGTGGAGACGGTGGAGCCTCATCTTCTGGCTGCGGTTGATGCGGAGTAGGTTGCTGTGGAGTCGGTTGAGGAGGTAGAATTGTGGGTCTTTTCGGAGCAATAGACGTACCAGGAGCTCTCTAAGAAGCGTTGGGAACATTTCTTCTCCTCCGTCCTCGACCAGTCATCGTGTTGGGAACATTCGCGAAGTGATTTTAGAGGATTCCAAGAAGAAGAAGAGAGATGGTGAGGATTCAAAATAGGATTAGGGTTTTGACGGAGAAGGAAAAAAGAAATGGAGAGGATTCGAAGAAGAAGAAGAAGAAGATGAGTCGATTCGAAGAAGAAGATGAGTCGATTCAAAGAAGAAGAAGAGAGATGGAGAGGATGCTAGTAAGATTAGGGTTTTGACGGAGAAGGAAAAAAGAAATGGAGAGGATTCGAAGAAGAAGAAGAAGAAGAAGAAGTAGAAGAAGATGAGTCGATTTGAAGAAGAAGATGAGTCGATTCGAAGAAGAAGAAGAGAGATGGAGAGGATGCTAGTAAGATTAGGGTTTTGACGGAGAAGAAGAAGAGATCTATCCCTCTTTCTCGAGAAAATTAGGGTTAGTTTAGTGGGTTTCTTAATGGGCCTAAACATTTGGGTTTAAACATTTGGTCGCTCTTTAGTCGCAAATTAGTGACAAAGTAAAAAAATTGGTGGGAATTGGAACCGCCCAAACACTTAGCCAAAATCATAGAAATTTCACTAACCGTAGCTAAATAGTCGCACTATTGGTCGGCAAATAGTTGCACTATTCGTCGCAAAATAGTTGCTAAATGAACAATAGTTACAAAATGGTGGCAAAATTGCGACCGTTTTGTGACTTTCGTCTATTAGTCACAAGACAAAATTTATAAATCTACACATTGTGATCCAAAATGGTGATATATATCACTCAAAAACACTCATATTATTGTTATAGAGGACATATATTAGTTTAAGGTTGAATTTTTTTGCAAAATTCAAGTGATATAGATATTTTACTAAATCTCTAAACATTACTCATAAGAGTAATGTAACAAGACAAAGAGATTTGAATGTTTTGTTTTTAAACATCAATATTTATGTCTTTGGTTAAGATTTTATTACTAAGTAACATCAAATGAGTGTAGAATTGTTTAACTTTATATGCAAACAAATTTAAAATGTGAAAATTGAGAAAAACAAAATCGAGGGTTGGTAAATACTAAATAATCGCAAAACGGTCGCTATCTCAGGTGCCAGTCGCAAAAAAGTCGCAAAATCTTTAGGTGCTAGTCGCAAAATACGTACTACTTAGCGACTAAAATAAAAATTGGTCGCTCTTTAGTCGCAAATTAGTGACAAAGTAAAAAATTGGGGGGAATCGGAACCGCCTAAACGCTTAGCCAAAATCATAGAAATTTCACAAACCGTAGCTAAATAGTCGCACTATTGGTCGACAAATAGTTGCACTATTCGTCGCAAAATAGTTGCTAAATGAACAATAGTTACAAAATGGTGGCAATTTTGCGACTGTCTTGTGACTGGTATCTATTAGTCACAAGATAAAATTTAGAAACCTACATATAGTGATCCAAAATGGTGATATATATCACTCAAAAATACTCATATTAGTGTTATAAAGGACATATATTAGTTTAGGGTTGAATTTTTTTGCAAAACTCAAGTAATATAGATATTTTACTAAATCTCTAAACATTACTCATAAGAGTAATGTAACAAGACAAAGAGATTTGAATGTTTTGAATGTTTTGCTTTTAAACATCAATATTTATGTCTTTGGTTAAGATTTTATTACTAAGTAACATCAAATGAGTGTATAATTGTTTAACTTTATATGCAAACAAAGTTAAAATGTGAAAATTGAGAAAACAAAAATAGAGAGTTGGTAAATAGTCGCAAACTGGTCGCTTTATCAGGTGTCAGTCGCAAAATCTTCAGGTGCTAGTTGCAAACCGGTCGCTATCGCTGCATTTTTAACGTGTTTTATACCACTCTTTCTAACTAATTTGCAACGAAAGTGTAACTATAACAAGTGGTTGTTAACTAGTTGCACATTTGAGACTACATTGCGACGATCATTTGAGACCAAAAGTTGAGTCGCACATCAGTCGCATATCAGCCACTCATTTGCGACTATAATAAATTAGTATGTAATCGGTTTTAAAATCGTCGCATATTAACGACTAAGTAAAGACTATTTGTTTTAGTCGCAGAATAGCGACTATATTCCATCTGTAAATATTGTGGTCGCTAAATGGTCGTTCAGAAGTCACAATATAGTCGCAAACATTTGCGACTAATAATTCGGTCGCAAAGTGTAGTTGTAAAACGCAGGTTTTCTTGTAGTATATATATATATTAATCACTCTGATGTTGTTACATTTATGAGGTTCGAAATGAGTCGTGCTTAACTTCTAAGCGTTCCATGTTGTAGTGATATATTTGTGATTTATATGAATATAGATAAATTATGTCTTTATTTACACATAAATATATAATATAGAATACAAAATCGTGTTACTGTTATACTGTATACTAGATTTTAACCTGCGGTACACCGCATGATGATTTAATTTTAAAGTTAGTATAAAAATATTTTGTAAATTGTATCTCCTTATAACATATTTATTTATATTATAGTTTACAATTGTTATTAAGTAACGGTATACCACGAGATAATTATTAATAAACTGAGGATTTAACCCGTATTAAAGCGGTATATAAATATTGATTCAAATTCGTCCGCCATATAAATCATTTCCGAAATATAACCCGTTCCGTAATTTCTTAACCCGTCCTGTGATTTGTATTAAAAAATAAGGATTAAATCCGTATTGAAGCGGCGGATTAATGATATTTTAATCTTTTTATTATTGTTGATTCAAAAACCCGTCCCGCCAAACCCATCCCGCCAAAAAACTCATTTATTTTATTAATGTTCTTATTTATGATATGATTCTGAATCATTGTCTAAATATTTTAATCGATGTAGAACGTTGAACACACATTTTCGTCAATTGGATAATATATGTCCGTTTTTAAAATTTCGAATCACAGTATATGCAGAAAAAAATTGATTTTTTTTTTTTACTTTATGTATTATATGATGATTCAAAACAGTTAAAAACAAATCAAACAAAGATGATAGGAGAATCATAATTATAAATCTTAATCAAATCTTCTAAAAATCTAAATTATTAAATATGGAATATCCGGTGTATGAGTTGGGTTAAATATAACCCGACCCAACAAATTTTTTGTGAAGGAATTTTTAAAATGGGTCGGATATCCGAAAGCTTTTTTACCCACCCGTCACAAAAAGTGCTGCGATTATACTAGTATAGATAGGTAAGGTATCAGTTTCCACAAAACGATGTACTGTATATGTATGTGGGGTGTTAGTTAATTTAAGCAAACATTTTGTTCGGTCACACGAGTTTGAAAATCCGTCAATATGATCAAATTACAATTGCTTTTTAGGTGTTTAGGGTTTAGAAAAAGCGAAATTAAAATGTGGAGGAAAGAAATACAAAACAAGAAAATGGGGACAATTTAGTGTGGGTTCATTTTTTGCGTAAATCCAGGCTGGTTTGAAGACATAAGTGAAAAAAAACATGTAGAATAATTTTAGACCAAACCTGTCTACTCTTCCTATCTTTTAAAATCATTATCATGAGCAACGCCAATCTTCCCATCACCCTTTGCCCCTCCTCTCCAACCCCTACACAATAATACCTTATTTTATAAAAAATTAGTTTCCAATATCTGAAAATAATGGCCTTACAATTATTGTAGACAACATTGGTTCTATACTGGTTATGAATGGGGTATACAGATTTTATCAAGTTTTCATTTTTTTAAAAAAATGTGATTAATTCTTTTGGTTTTTCTACACCAAAATGTTTAAGTATTTACGTTTTTGTAGTATTTTTTAAAAATAAAGTGGTAGTTGAACTTCCGACCTTTTTTTTTTTTACATTTTTGGATCGATAAAGTCCGATCCATAGCTAATCTTCACTAAGCGGAATAACGTAATTTAGTGAAATCGACTTAAGCAGTTGACTAAAAACACATTCTCAGTTAAACTTCCGATTTATGTGAATGAGATTTCACCTTTCTGACCTTAATGTTTTTGAGGTCGATTTCTACGGAAACAAACTCACTTTACTTGGATCACTAAAATTTCTATATTTTGGTTTAAATGTTTAATTTGCAATGGACTTTTAAATTTAGTTTTTGAAATTTTAATGTTTTAGAAAAAAAGGAAGAGAATATTATATTAGTTTTACTAAAAAGCATGGTTAGTAGGCGGAATATTTAAGCTCAATCCGGAATATTATCTCTATTGGCCTGGTATTCTGAATTTGACTCGTCTAGATGATGATTCCTGTTCATATTGCGGAATTTTAACTCTACTACTAGACCATTAATTTCTTTAAAATTATTATATTCCTCCTCCACATTATTTATTTCTTGTGATTCCTGTCCCACTATGGCAAATTGGCAATAATATATTGGGATCCTTATTAATGTATATTATTTTTTTGACATTTTTGGATTGATAAGGCCCGATCCATAGCCAATCCCTACTACGCGGGGTAACGCGACTTACTGGAGTCGAACTCCGGTGGAGAAGGCGGAGTTAAATGGACTTAACCACTTGACTAAAGGTACATCCCCATTAATGTATATTATTTCAAACATATAAATTATACATAAAACATATAGATGCCTACATATACTGATATACACACTGATATGAAGGCAATACCGATAAATTTTCTCGTGCTCCATGTTGGGTTCTTTCTCATGTGACGACCTTAAATGAACGATTATGATTTGTGCATCATATATTGATATATATACTATATTACTATATATAGAGATGTATGTCTTATTAAATTATATATGTATTATGTACATTATATAAACGTACGACATTGGTTCCTCCAACATTAATGGCAAATCTCAAGAAGAGGATTTCGACAATGTGTAGATAGATCTTGTGGTAGTATGAATAAGACCTCGAGTTCTATAAGATCTAGCGAATCAGAATATTCCACGTTAGTTATGGAAACAATTCACTTTAATTAACTAATACAATTCCATTAATCAAAGCATTAACTATATCGTCAACGCTAAGTAAAAAGCCCACATCCCCAAACCTTGTGGATTCTGTATAGCCCCAAAAAAATTCATTGCCATTTGCCATACTTAAACACGAAATGGTAAGATATTCATAATTTTTCTATAACACATATTTTTACTATTTAAACCTATACATTAATGCGGACAAAAAAACATAGACGTGGATTAGTGTAACTAGAGAAGATGCGGACAAAAAAAGGTGTATAGAAAATGTTACCGTAAATAGTGTAAAAAGATGTTAAGTACACCACCTTTTGAGATTAACTTTTCTAGGATAAACAACTTTTTGGAAACCATTAATTTACTTTTTGGAAACTACTAATTTTGTTGGAAAAAAACATAGACGTGGTTTAGTTACAAGCTAGTCAAACTAATTCTACTGATCTCTTGTCACAGTTGAACCAAATTCTGTATAACATCAAGTTTTTAGACAATAGTAGTAGGCGTAGCATAAGAAATTTAGATAGTTAAAAACAAGTGGACACTAAGAGCATGATTAACAAGGGTTGCTTAAAAATGGTTTTTAAGAGTATTAAAATAATAAATTTAAAAATGGTTCTTAAAAATGGATCTTAATGTTAAATTTGGATCTTAGCTAAGCCATTTTAATTTTGGATTTTAGTCTTTAACAAGATTTTTCTTTAATTTTTTTAGCTAAGATTTAGCTAAAAAATAGTTAAGACACCACCGATAATGGTGGTCTAAATAGTTCTTAACTCGACACCAAAAAAATAGTTCCTAACTCGACGGAAAAGTAAGTTCATACATCATGAAGAGCTAATCAAATAACAGAATTTTCATTTTTTCCACTGATTTTTTTTTTATGTGTTATCTCAATTGATTAATTACAAGTATTATTAAAGAAGCACCATATATAATTAGCAAATAGACACTCTCACTCTCTCTACTTCTCTCGCTTTCTCTCTCTCTCTCTGAATCACTATCTCTTCCTCGAGTTCAATCACCACAAACTCACAATCAAATATACACTTAGACACACTCATCTGAATCTGAAACCGAATCTCTCTGCAGAAGCACACATTATTGATGGAGGAGAAGTGGAAGCTGTCGAAGAAAGAGACAACAGCTTCTTCTTCCTCCTCTAAGTCAAAGTTTTCTAGAAGCTTCTCAACAAGTGCTTCCTCCACAAAGTCTCCAATATTCGTACGGAGTTCCTCTACCAAATGCTCTGTTCCTTCTTCCTCCTCTTCCTCTTCTTCTTCCTCTTCAATCTCAAGAAGCTTCTCAAGAAAAGAGAGAAGATCTTCTTCTTCATCATCTTCTTCTATCACTCAGAAATATAGCAGCTTGGCTAAAGAACAGAAGGCAAGGTTTTACATCATGAGAAGGTGTGTGGCTATGCTTGTTTGTTGGCACAAACATGGAGATTCTTAACTAGATCTTCATCTTCTTCTTCCTTTTTTTTGTTTCCTTGTAATTAGATCAGTTTGATTATTAAGGGTTTCCATACAAGTACATTGTAAGAAGAGATTTTGTTAAAAAAATTTAGGGTTTCTATGCTAATTTTTTTCAATTATATGACTTGCATATGCTACATATATACACAATCATAGATATGTGTGGTGTATATGTATCATTAATGCAAGTATTTACTTTTTACATTAAGAAAGGAATGATTGATGTCTTTGTTTAGATTTCAAATATTAAAATGCAATATCTGGAGGATTAGTGTATCATGAAGTACAGTGTTTTTGTTAAGATTTACACTGAATAGTCATTTTCAATGTCTCTGGAAAAAGAAGTGAAACAATTTAAGTTTAACAAACTAAATCTTCAATTTAATGTTTTTATAAATAATATTACTACTATTTGATATCTTAGTCATTTTAAAATGAATTCATGATTCATATCATCTGCTCAAAGATCTGAAGCTTTTCTTTTAACTTATTATTGATTACGAGACGTCATAATGGAGTCCAGTTAATGTCAATATAATGATGATAAGAATATTATCAAAATAATGGCATGATGCTATAGATCTTGCAAACACCAATAATGTCTGAAACTCTACTCGAATTTTGTTTTTTCTTAGCTTTTTTTAATTTATTATTTTATTCCTTTTTGCATTTTATGGCAGTATTTGGTGGCAGTATTTTTTCTGTTTGCTTTCTGGGTTTTTGTCTCTTTGATAGAAGAAAGATTCCCTCTTGACAAATGAAAATTTGTTAGTATCAACATATATGTCTACATTTTATTTCTACAAAAACTTAGAATCAAATTACTTTACTATATTATGTATAAACAGTTACGTACGTAGAAACTAGTCGGCATTATTGACATGAAATGAAATCTATCTTTTCACTTTATTAGGGAAAAAAAAGTTTGGAATATTATATTGGGAATCCAATGAAAAGTTTTCAACGACTACTACGTCTTTTGTCATTATCATTAACAAAAACGTTATGTTTAGGCCTTTTTGCCCAAAAAAAAAAAAAAAAAAAAAAAAAAAAACGTTATGTTTAGGCCTTGAATGGAGACATTAAAAAGTGCGGATTTTAATAACGTTTTTCCAAAAACGTTTATGTCACCAATTATATGAGTTCCATATAATTTGCGTTTTCCCAAAAAAGAAAAAAAATATTGTTTGCGTTTTCTAAGATAGGGTATTACACTATGGAACGCATATACCTACAACAACTTCAAATTACCTAGTGGTTTTCTCAAATTCTGCATTGAAAAGCAAAATAGTATTATTTTATTTGTTTATTTGAGATTAATAAAGGAGTTTAATAACAACTACATATTTTAACAAATAACATACTTTTACTAAAAAAATGTTTTTAATTTAAGTTGTTAATAATTTCATAAATGATTACTTTTTAGTTTTTAAACATGCCATTTTTGAAAAAAAAATTCACTTATATCACTTTTCCCGCCAAAAAATATTTTGTATTTTGTGGACCTAATTTTGTTTCAAATAAGGGTAAAATGGTCATTAAAAATTAAAAGAGGGCAAACTTAAAAATGGACTCTCAAAAGGGGCATTTTTGAAAAGGGGTATTGAAAAAGGGGCATTTTTAACAATTTCTCTATAAATTATATATGTATCCCGCAAATTAGTTTTTCACCAATCAAACATTATTCCGCACCGCTTATTTTGTACAAACCGCACTTGTCCCGCAAATACTTTTTTTCCGCACGTACCGCATTTGAACCGTATCGCACTATCAAGGGCGGACCCACGTTCACAATTGGGAGGTCAAGTGACCTGGTTAAATTTGCAAATCTTTAAGTAATTTTCAGCAAAATTAATAATTGACCCTTGTTAAATTTTATTTTTTTCCACTATCCGTTTCACTTCAAAGGAAAAATGATTAATTCTTTGTCTTTTTTTGGTAATTATTAATGAAAATTGTAACATTTAATGCAAAAATAAGCCAAAACATTATACAAAAGAATCATGTTTCCATTTTAATATGGAGTATTTAATTTATTATGGTATAGTTTTTGTTGACGTTGCAATTTTTTATTAAATGTGACTAATTACTAGTTAGTATAATTAACAAAAATTAGTTCCTTTCATCTCATATAGTAATTTCAAATTTATTAGATATTATACATTTGTTTTATTATTTATCAAAAATACAATAATTTTGCTCTCTTTTTTTTTTAAAGTATGTTCTTATTTTTAAGATTTTTGGTGTTAAATTTCTCGATATAATCTTGCACCGGGTGAAAAAAATTTCTGGGTCCGCCACTGCGCACTATAATACCGCTTTCCCCGCACAGCAAAAAACGTTGTTACCATACCATTAATAAAAAAAAAAAAGATCACGAGCATTGCAGATTTCTGCTAATGCCTTTTTCGATTAGTACAAAACTTTACAATTATTTATTTTGCGTCAAAATATCGTACAAAAGAGCTAACGCGATCATAGCTCTTCAAGTTCACTCTTTTTACAAACAAAAAAAAAAAAAAAAAACTCAGAAATCTCAAAACATGACAAAAGTATAAAGAGGAAAGAAAAAAAAATGGCAAAAGAGAAGCATATATTGCACTAAGGAAATATCATTCCAAGAAAGGGAAAAAGGTGATGTGGCATTTGCAGAGGCGTTGGATCGGTCAGAGTCAACATTTAGGGAAATCTGAGGGTGGAGGAAGGAGTTTCTGATTTGGAAGGTCACCGTCCAAAACCACCCAAGCCATGGTCAGACCCCAACTCAAATGAATCTCAATGTGGCAATGCATCAGCCACACACCTATCACCATCAAACAATTATTAGAATAAAACATATAGTTTGTGAATACTATTAATCATTAAAATTAGTGTTGTTGTGTGACCACCTAAATTTAAAATTGTATAATACTCCCTCCGTTTCAAAATATAAAGCGTTTTGGAGAAACTTTTTTGTTTCAAAATATAAGTCGTTTCAAATTTCCATGCAAATTATATATTACTTTAATATTTTATAATTATTTTTATTATGCAGTCTCTTTTATGATTGGCTGAACTTTTACAAAGTAGATCTTCTTAATCGGCGTGCTTTTAGCTAAAACGTCTTATATTTTGAAACGGAGGGAGTATATGTTATTGACAAAAGAAAAAAAGAAAAAAAAAAACGTAAACCCTTACCGGGATTATCGGCGAGGAAGCGGATGGCGACCCAACCACCGGAAGGGACATTGATGGTGTTTCGTTCGACCGGATCGACTAGATTATATTGCTTTGGGTCACGGGCCGGGTTAAAATTGCCGAAGCCTTGACCCACCACATAAAAGTTGAAGCCATGAAGATGTACAGGGTGGGCCTCAATACCCAAGATGCTAGTGCCCTGTAACACCAATTCAACAGTTGTGTTGTACTTCAAGACCACAACTTTGGTCCCTCTTGAGACCATTGTGTTGTTTGGTGGCGTCCCCGTGTAATTAAATGGAAAAAAAGGGGCAGTTGGGAAATCGGTCATGAAAACATTGTTGGACTTGCCAACGAAGTATGATTGTAATAGAGAAGTCTTGTCTGGTAAGATGAAAGAGACATTGTTGATAGATGCTGCAAATTTCGTTGCATTAGTTGGTCCTTGGCATGTTTGGTTTTTAGGACAAGGGTTGGTTCCTAGACCGACGGTAAAGAAATATTTTTTGTCCACGGTTTTTGGCACGTTTACCGGAAATGTAGAACTTGCCAAACTTCTAAACATTTTTGTGAAATTTGCGGCGTAGCTCGTACTATTGATGGGAGGGAGAGATGGTTTAATAATAGAAAGATTCTTAGAAGATTTGGAATGATGATGGTATTGGAGAATTCCCGCAACGGTTGTATTATCAATTGTTCCTTGGCCCGTAAAGTACGGTCTTGCCAACATGTAAAAGGTTGCATTTGGATAAATAGGTTTGGTTTTGAGTAGTACGTTGGTGGTTTGGCCCGGACCGAGAAGCACGGTGTTGGTTTGGAATGGTTTAACGTAGCAAGCATCCGCTTCTACGACCGTCAATGTATGATTGGCTATGGTGAAGAAGAGTTCGTCATTGAGTGCAGCATTGATTAATCGTAGTAGATACGTCTTTCCAGGTTTTACCATCAGTTTGTACGTATCTAAAAAATATATGTGCGTAAGTGTTACAAAAATTGGCTTCTAGTTTTGAACATGACTTTAAAAAGATGATCATTACCTTTTGTAGAGCAATTGTATAATGGACCTGGAAGCCCATTAAAAGTATGAGCATCAGAAGCATTTGGGCCTGCACCCGTCTGAAGAGCTTGTTGTAGCACTGCTTGAGGATCAGCATTAAACCATTCACCTATACACAAATATAAAACATCAATTTATCAATCCTTTAATCATAACCGATGTTCTACCTTTTTGACAACATGCACATTGATTTTTTTTTTGTTGACTGATTTGATCAAAATCAGAGCATCCAAATACTTTCGAGTTTCGACTGCTTAAAGATAGGTTATATCGGTTAAGTTTCTAGAACATTGATCAGTATTTGGCACTCATTAGTCATATGTAAGGTAAAAAAAAGTTACGGTACGAAGATAATTACCAAAGATTATAGGGACTTGTTTGTAGGGTTTGGGAAAAGGGTAAGGCTGATGGAGTTTAGGGAGAATGATCAAAGGTCCGTACACGGTAGCTCTCATCCATTGAATATGAGCATGCCACCACAAGGTTCCTCTTTGTCCAGTCACCGTGAAGTTGTAAACATAACTTTGTCCGGTCCGAATTGGACATTGTGTCACATACGATGGTCCATCCGCCCATCCGCTCCTTAGCTGCCGGATACCGTGCCTATATTCATACATTCATCTATTTAATCATGAGGCTCAATGTATCAAATAAGAGTTAAAACTATATTATCACTACAAGACTATAAGAAATTAGTAATTTACCAGTGGATAGAAATGTTATTAGAGACATGATTAACAACTTTGATCTGTAGATTATCTCCTTCTCTTGCGGTAACCTTAGGTCCTGGGAATTTTCCATTGACCGTCACGATTGTTTTCGTCTTGCACAATCTTGTGATGTTTTTCAGTTGAATCTGCCAAACGAAATAATAGAATAAGTGATTTAAAAATATTTGTAAATAGAGGACATAACTAATATATATTTGGCCTCAAAGTGAGACGAATTAATAATATTACATCGAACTGGTAGTGCCGCGTGATTCCTGCAGATGCTGCATCGATGTTGTAACTAATGGCAATCAGAAATGCCACGAGAAGAT